ATTCTGGAAATTTCATGCAAATAAAATTCTATGTGGCCTCTTGTGACTGGATTCTTTCATTTAGCATAACGTGTTTAAGGTCCATCCATGTGGCATGTGTTGGTGCTTCATTCCTTTCTATGGCTGCATGATATTCCATTTTATGGGAAGACCACGTTTTGTTTATCGATCCATTCACCCACTGATGGACATCTGGGTTTGGGGCTGTTATGAATAATGCTGCTATGAATATTCATGCTCATGTTTTTGTGTGGACATATGTTTTCAATTCTCTTGGGTATGTACCTAAAGGGGGAATTGCTGGGTCATAAAATAACTCTATGCTTATCAACCTCTTGAGCCACTGCCAAACTATTTTCCAAAGTAGGTACACCATCTTCCTTTCCCACCAGCAGTGTGTGGGGTTCCGATTTCTCCATATCCTCAACAACACGGGTTATTATCCACTTTCCTTATGATTGCTGCGCTAGTGGGTGTGAAGCGGAAACCTTACATTTTTCTTAAATCTTACTATATTTCTGTGAGCAGTTTTTTTTAAATTTTACTCATAGCCTGATGTTAAAACTACCTTGAACAGAAGGAAATTAAACAAGAAAATATCCCCTCAAGGAAAGGTTACAACAAAATGATGAAGACAGAGAAATGCCCTCTGCAAGGTGAGCGGGAACAGCCCTGGAGAGACAGCAGATGGCACTGCTGTACATGACGCATTGTATCGTTGTATGTGGTACAATGACACCGTTGTATGTGGTATGACATTGTTGCCTGTGGTACAATGACCCTGGTGTATGTGATACAATGACACTGGTGTGTGTGGTACATTGGCACGGATGTAGAAAAGTGCATCAGGACTTCCTCCTAATCTTCTTGTTCCCTTTAATTCACACGTAACTTCCTGGACCTGTAAAACAAAGCTCTTTTCCAAGTAAACCAACATGGTGGCGTTCCTGACAAAGCTCTATATTCAAATGTCAGCTGACAACCCAAATAGGTTTTGTTACACTTTCCTCCTCGGGACAAAACTTACTGCTGCCCAACCAACACTAATCTATCACAGAATATAGCTGCGGTTTTACCAACTAAAGGAGGAGCTAAAATAGTCCCCCATTCCTGTGCCCGGACTCCCCTCCAAGGGGGTGTCCAGGTGTTTCAGTGACAGCCATTTTCACAGCATTACAGCGCTGATTTCCTGAAAGGTCATTAACAGTCTCCACCTTCAGGCAGGAGCACTTAAAATGCCCCAGTCCAAGGAGAGTCTCCTCTATTTTTAGCTTGAAAGATTTCAGGAATGCCGCAAATCATCCTTCACTTCTTGGTGTCTGCCCCCTCAGGCCAAGGCAGCCGTTGGAGGTTTACCACCCACAAACTTCGGAACCAGATACCAACAAGGGTGGGTGTACTGCAAACCGCAGGCCTGCCCAAGGCCTAGGAGACAGAAAACAAAAAAGGGGGACGGAGAACAGTGGCAGTGGGGTGAGAGGCGGTACATGGGAGAAGGGAACAAACAGTTCTGCTGGTAAGGACAGTGCAGGCTGCCCCCCTGTGTGGGCAGACGCGGGGTGCTGGCCCTCACAGGGACTGGCAAGGACGAGCCTAGGGAGGCAGTGTGTGACCTCCCTGGGGTTCGCCCTGACGGCCAGACTGTCCACAGGAGCCACGCGTTTCTTGCAAAGAGTCTGAATGCATTTATACACCAAGCGTCATCTGCAAACTGAAAGTCTTATACTTCTGTTTTCTTTTTTTTTAATTAATTTTTATTGGAGTATAGTTAATTTACAATGTTGTGCTAGTTATACATATACCCACTCTTTTTAGATTCTTTTCCCATATAGGTCATTACAGAGCATTGAGTAGAGTCCCCCGTGCTATACAGCAGGCCCTTATTATACTGCTGTTTACAAATAAGGGTAGATCTGTCATGGATGATGAAATAGCTCTCATTTGTCAATGTCTCTGAGTAGTTGCTTCTTGTCATTGTTCGTTTTTTCTAACCACGGGACAACTAAAGCATAAGTCCCACATGGGTCTGAGAAGTTTTTCCTGTTGGGGTGTGAGGGGCTTTAATTTCTAAAGGTATAAAGCACTCTCAAGTAAGAATTAATATATTTAGGTCCTAAATGTCCACGAATAGGGGACAGGAAAAATAAATGATGCTGTAGTGCAGGGTCAGCACCCCACGGCCCGTGGCCTGTCTTGGTAAATCAAGCTTTACTGAAACACAGGCATGCACGTCTATACATTGTCTACAGCTGCTGTGCACTACAGTTGGGCCAAAGACCATATGGCCCAGAAAGCTTAAAACATGTACTATTTGGCCCTTTACAGAAAAAGCTGGTGAACCCCTGGTAGAGTGTATCATGAAACACACTACAGCTATTAAAAAGCAGAGTAAGGGGGGACTTCCCTGGAGGTCCAATGGTTAAGACTTCGCCTTCCAATGCAGGGGGTGCGGGTTCGATCCCTGGTTGGGGAGCTAAGATCCCACATGCCTCGTGGCCAAAAAACGGAAACGTAAAACAGAAGCAAAGATGGTAACAAATTCAATAAAGACTTTTTAAAAAATGGTCCACGTCAAAAAAGTCTTTAAAACAACAACAACAAAGTCAACCTCAACTGCATCTATGAACAGGGAGAGATGCTCTAGATACAATAATGAAGATGTTTTATTTCTAACTCTGATCCCTGAGGTGAGTGGGCTCCGTTCACTTGTTTTTTGATGAGCTTCACGAGAGGAATTCGCTTCTGGGGAAGGCTGAAAACAGGGCAGGGAAGACAGAACTCTGGGCAACAGAAACGCCGGGGCTGGGGCAGCCCCCACCCCCCATGACCCATTCAGGGATCCCCGAGGCCTGAGGAGCGTATACACCCCCTTCCCACGCTAGTTCTGAAAAGGATAAAAAATACTCCTAGGTAAGGACAGAGGTCAAAATATAACCATGGCCTTAGGTCAGTTTCCCTACACAGAGGCCCAGAATCAAGAAGACATCCCCACTGCGGCACGGCTGCGCTGGGTGGAGCTGGGTTCCCCCAGGGGCGAAGCGGAAAGAGCTGCGCAGGGGGCCCAGCCCTTCTTCCCAAACTGGCAGTCACGTAATCCCTGCCCAGCGAGGTGCGGGGCCCGCCCCGTCCTCCTGGAAACCCCCAGAAGCCTCCTGCAACGGCCAGCTCGATATGTCCACGCCGGGAAGGCACGCAGGCCGAGCCGCTGGGTCCACGGAGCACAGAGGCCAGCCCCTCGCTCCCCGGACAGGACCGGCTTCCGCCCCGGGACCAGCCACAATGCACCTGTGCGCTGGCGCCTTCCCGGGGAGGGCGGTGGGACCGGGCGCGGCCACGACAGCCGGAGGAGGGACCGGCTCCCGGTATGTTTCTCATCCCCGCTCTCACATCGCAGGGCGGCGAGAGCGAGGCCGACCCTATCGCGGACTCCCCAACGAAACCTTCAGTGAAGCCGCGCGCCCAAGGCCAGTGGGCGAGGAGCGCGGCCGTCGGTGAGGATGGAGGAGAGGCACGTACCCGAGTCAGGAGAGCGCGGAATTCCGGACACTGACGCCCCCGAGCTGTGACTCGTGTCCCCCAGAGGGTCAGCTGAGAGGCACCATCGCTCTGCCACACGCTAGGTGTGGGATCTCCGGCCGTTTCTTCCGGTTTTTGTTGGTAAAATAGGGCGGCTGTGAGGCTTCCGTAAAACTCCGCGCACCGAGCCCGAGCACAGGGCCTCGACCCAGCGACGCTAACGTTTAATAAACGTCACTGCCGTATGTTTCAACAACGTCCAGTTTTTATAATAAGCACGTATTTGCTTCTGGGATATATGATGACACCGCTCTGACCCCCTCACAGTTGTTAATTGACGGGCATGAAAACGCTGTGAGAAGTTTAAATCCAGAGCCAAGATCTAAAAGTACTAATTAGAGCACACTTTACATAAAACCCATACTCAAGAGTGCCGTCAACAGCCTAAAGTGCTTGTATTGTCTTTTTTTAAAAAAGAAAAAGAAAAAAAAGGAAAGCAAAGCCTGAATTCAAAATGACCAAGTGAGCACAAAACTTTATCTCCTATTCCTCCCAATACCCCCATTAAAATGAAGAAAAGGAGCAGAATAAAAGGGTTAAACACCCACCACAAGCATGGGAAAGGGACACGGGCTGAACAGAGATTTGAACACATTCTGGGAAACTGTAAACAGAGGGAGGACTGGTGAGGCTCCACGAGTCTCCTGTTCGACAAGGACGAACTCGCTTTCTGCGCACAGAAATCACAGGTAGTCAGGGCTGGAGGGGCCCTCCCCGTGAGCTAATCCCTGGTCCTCAGCAGACAGGGGAGGCGCAGACGGGGAGCAGCAGCACCACCGGGGCCTGTGCCACAGGCCCTGCTGCTAGGTGGGAGCACAGGGGACCCCCGTAACAATCTCGTTTCCAGATGGGCAGTCAAGGACGGAAGATTCGAAGTGAGTTGCTCTAGCTCAGAGCGGCGGGGGCGGAGCCCTGCTGGGAGCCAAGACAGCTGGGCACCGCCCCACACTGCCCCCTCCAAAGCCACCCAGCCACTCACCACCACATGCTACATGCCCCTCAACCCTAACCCGCTGGCATCAGAGCACAGAGCAGCACTACGTCTTGTGCTTTTACGGCCGCTGAGTCAGGTAAGAAGCAGGACACCCAGAGGAAGACCACAAATGGGGCCCCGGGCTGACCCCGGCCCCCTCCCAGCCTCGCCCTCCCGTGACAATTCATTCGTTCCTGGGACGTCTTCCTCCAGGACTGCTATTTGCTTTGACAGCAACAGAAATGCCGATGGGATGGAGTCCCCAGGACCTGCTCTGCCCCTACAGATGCCCTTCGGCGTCCCCAAGCAGCCACCACTCCTCCCCACAGACAGACAGAAGCAGGGAAATAGGATTAAGCAGATAACTGTTTAATAGAAACCGTTGATTGACTGTAAATGATTCTATATAAAATAAACCTTAGTTTAAAAATGTTTAAGAAGTCACACCCACCATTGGAGGTGATCACCTGCGCTTCGGTGAAGTTACGTAAAAGCTGTTTGCAAACTGGTTAGGGTCTCAGCAGAGGCCTGGAGAATCTTCAGCTCTTCTGTCCACAGTGTTTCTACCAAAGTTAGTTGGTTTATCAAAGCCACTTCTTCATCTTTCATATGAGAAACCTGGAAGTTATTTTTAAATGATTTTCTTTAGTGTAGTAAAATATACATAAACATAAAATTTAACATTTTAGGGCTTCCCTGGTGGCACAGTGGTTGAGAGTCCACCCGCCGATGCAGGGGACACGGGTTCGTGCCCCGGTCTGGGAAGATCCCACGTGCCGCGGAGCGACTGGGCCCGTGAGCCATGGCCGCTGAGCCTGTGCGTCCGGAGCCTGTGCTCCACAACGGGAGAGGCCACGGCAGTGAGAGGCCCGCGTACCGCAAAAAAAAAAAAAAAATTAACATTCTGACCATTTTTAAATGTACAATTCAGCGGCACTAAGTACATTCACAGTGTTATATAACTACAGCCACCATCCATCTCCAGAACTTCTTCATCATCCCAAACAGAAACTCTGTACCCATCAAGCATTAACTCCCCATTTCCCCCTCCCCAAACCCCTGGTAACCTCTACTCTACTTTCTGTCTCTATAAATTTGCCTATTCCAGATATCTCATTTAAGTGGAATCATACAGTAAAGGGTATTTGTCTTTTTGGGTCGTGGTTTATTTCACTCAACACAAGGTCTTCAAGGTTCAATAAAATTATTTTTTTTAATCCTAGTAATGTTTTCATTCAAATAAGCTAATTCCTCATTTAATTAAAACATTCATTAAATAAAAGGGAAAGACGGGATTTCCCTTGTGGTGCAGTGGTTAAGAATGAGCCTGCCAATGCAGGCGACACGGGTTCGATCCCTGGTCAGGGAAGATCCCACATGCCGTGGAGCAACTAAGCCCGTGCGCCGCAACTACTGAGCCCACGCACTGCAACTACAGAAGGCTGCGTCCTCTAGGGCCTGCGTGCCACAACTACTGAAGCCCCGCGCGCCTAGAGCACATGCTCCACAACAAGAGAAGCCACCGCAATGAGAAGCCCGTGCACTGCGACGAAGAGCAGCCCCTGCTCGCCACAACTAGAGAAAGCCCGTGTGCAGCAACGAAGACCCAACCCAGCCAAAAAACAATTTTTTTAACTAAAAGAAATTTAAAAATAAAAGGGAAAGAGTACCTTAAAAATCTGTTACCAAGAATTCATGCAATAATTTTACCTATTAAAAGGTGTAGACACATGTTAACAGTCAAAACACGGATTACATCAGTGTTCATTTATTAAGGCATTAACAACACCCTAAGAAGGTGGACTAACCCTATCCAACAAGCATCAGTACAAAACAACTTCTTCATCAACACACTTCTTTAAGAAAAGAACGCAATATTCTAGAAGCATACCTTTTGAAGCACAGCCTTACTCTCCTTGATGAAATAATGGCATATTTTCTGGGCTATGTCCAAACTTGCCTTCTCATTTGTATCTGAAATTATTTCCCCAATAAGTACTTTTTTCCAGCATGTCCTAGAACCAAAATATTCAATAAGGTCATTTCAGCAGGTTTTCAAAAACAAAGGCGGCTTTTCCACTTGAACACTTCTATTTTTCCAGAAACATAATAAAACTCATTCCATCAGCATGTTCCCTCAAACCTCCCACCACATGCAGGTCCTGCGTTGGAGCAGACAAGGTATACAGGACAGAAGAAGGATAAGAAGCTGAGGATAAGAAGCGAGGGAACTGGCGCTCTTTGCAGGCAGGGCCTGAGTTTTATTAGCACCACGATCCTGTGTGTGGCACATGAGTAAGAAGAGTCGCATCCACCAGCCATAGGAAGAGAACAAGGGACAGACAGGAAGGTGAGTCCACAGTCAAAGTACTACCAACTAAGGAGCAAAGGCGGAGGTTTTCCTTTTCTTCAAATGACAGCCTCTCCTAAAAGAAATGGCAAATGGAACAGGACATGTTTCACAAAGTAAAATGCTCTACAGACGGAAAGAGGAATCTACAGTGAAGCCTTTCTCTACACGCAGGTCCTTCCAATTTTACACTAAGGAAGTCCGTAGGAAATGGGGCTCAGCGGGCTGGCGGGGCCAGCTTTCTGTAGGGGAGGCAAGCGTGGGCCGCGGCCAAGGTGCCGAGCAGGAGGGGCTGAGTCAAGCCTACAGGCCGGCGAGGAGCACTAACCAGGGAGGAAGGGGGCGGGGGGACAGATGCTGGATGCACAGAACGCGAAAGTACACGTGGCTGAGGAGGGAAAGGCCACGGTGACGGCTCTACCATCCCAGTGGAGGGCACAGAAGTCGCTGAGAAATTCAGAACAGCCCAAAAGCCATACAGAAAACAAAGTCTTAGATGTCGTCAGCTTCAGGGATCATGGTGGCAACCCCAGGAGCAGATAAGCTCTCGGGAAAGAAAGGAAGTCAAGAAATAACATTTGGGACTTCCCTGGTCCAGTGGTTAAGACTCCGCACTTCCACTGCAGGGGGCACGGGTTCAGTCCCTGGTTGGGGAACTAAGATCCTGCATGTGAGTGGCGTGGCCAAAAAAAAAAAAAAGAAAGAAAGAAAGAAGGAACGCCATTACTGTGTGCCAGGAACAGTGCTTTATACGCAGCCAGTATCTGTTTTAATCTTCACAACCGCCTAGCAAAGAAAGCATTATAATCCCCACCTCAGACACAAAGAAACTGAGAATCCGGAACAGTAAAGCACTCACCCTAAGTGACGGAGCTAATGAGAGGCAGAACTAGCGTGCAAATACCCGTCAGGCAGAATCCCAAACACATGCTTCCTCTGCCACACCACTCAGGTAGTCAGAAAGCACCCAAAGGGAAGAAAGGAGGCCTCAGGAGGACCTCTGGGAAACATCCAGGTGCTTTATTTGAGGTTGACGCGTCTCCAAGAACGACTTAAAGAAACTTATGTGGGTATGCACGAGATAAAATAAAACACAAGATGAATGGATAGGGAAAACAAGACGAAGGAAAGAAGAAGAAAGATAAGATACAGCCAGGAATGAGTCAGTGATAAATTGCAGGCCTTAGAATCCTGCACACATGGATGGACCACAAGTTGGCCTCTGAGTTTTCTAGCGAGCAATAAAAAGGAAACATATCAGATACAGAATTCAGTGTCTGTACGACAAAAACACACCATCTGCTGAGAAGAGACACAACTGCCTCTGGTGTTGAGACCAGGGGATAGTTTTTCTCCCCAAGTCCCTACAGAAAAGGAAGTAAGCAACACCGTAAACAGCAACATCACGGGCACGATGGAATGAGCACAAACTACTTCCAGGCACTGTGCTGAGGGCTACTTCTAGGCGTTATCTCACCTAGTCCTCCCAACTGCTCGAGGACGGGGTTCGCCATCTTCAGGAAGTCCTCCCTGTGGTGTCTCTCACCTGAGATTTGCTAAGTAGCAGGCGTTACTCCCCGACTCCCTCGCAAGGAGCTCCAGGGCTGGGCAGCGCACGGCCGCGCGTGTGACCATCCTTTCCACACTAAGGGAAGGACCAACAGCCTCTCAGGAATAGTGAGGACCTGACCAGGATGCGTGTCTACACCAGGGGCTCCTCCACCTGCCTCCTCTATGGAAATATCCAGGCCTCTCCTTGAGCAGGCGTCTGGATCTGCCCCCAGGACAGAACCGGGGGGGGCCCAGCCAGTGGTCAGGAGCTCGGTCTGTTCTCAGGAAAAACCCACCTGCTCAGAGGCTCTCCTCTGACCAGGGCCAACACGCACGCTTTTCCAAGTGTTTACCCTGAACAACGAGCTGCAGGTCACCAGGGGGATACACGTGAGGAGAGACCAGTTCTCAGGCCCGTGTACTCTATGACTCTAAAACCAGAATTCCAGAAATGGTGCAAACCTAGAAGTGAACCACTCCCCACACGGGCAAGTTACACAGAGAATAAGCAACCCCAATATACAAGGGCATTCCTTTCACCTCTGAGGTTGGGCCTTTGAATGTAAGCCCCAAAAAAGCCGAAGTTATGTCCAAATCGTAACTATAGCTCATGACCAACACACAGGGAACTTACAATTCTTCAGCTTCCAGACATAACAACTTAAGAGCTGTGAGTAACCGCCAAGACGGTCCATCCCATCCAAACGTCAAATTTCTAAAGTAGAAAAAGAACAGATATATGTATATGTATAACTAAATCACTTTGCTGTACACCTGGAACTGACACAAGATTGTAAATCGACTACACTCCAACATAAAATAAAAATTAAATTAAAAAAAAAAAATTACCAATCTGTCATTTCGGTACTTCATTACATCACGGTAAATGACTAAAAAGCCAAACATTTTTTAAAGGGGCCACTAAACATTGCACAACCATGGTCTTAGTCACAAAGAGAAAAGTAAGTCTGCAAATACTTAAGAATAAAGCCTAAGTAACAGAAAATTCTTTGTGTTAAAAAAAAAAAAAAAAAGTAGGGCTTCCCTGGTGGCGCAGTGGTTGAGAGTCCGCCTGCCGACGCAGGGGATACGGGTTCGTGCCCCGGTCCGGGAAGAGCCCACATGCCGTGGAGCGGCTGGGCCCGTGAGCCATGGCCGCTGAGCCTGCGCGTCCGGAGCCTGTGCTCCGCAACGGGAAAGGCCACAACAGTGAGAGGCCCGCGTACCGCAAAAAAAAAAGTAAAAAGCTATTTTTATTTGGTAAGAAGCTGAACTTGGATGAGGGGGCCACAGTGAGATGAATGATGAAGAATCTGGATGATCCTCCGGATCAAACAAATGGCAGCCACCAGAGCTAGTGTCCCTCACAGTGCTGCTGGATTGTTTAGAACTTAATTTCACCTATAGAAGAAAATCTGAAAGGGAGGGTGTCAAACCCAGTTTATCCCATTCGGCGTGGAATCACCTAGGCTCCTCCCATCCCAAGAGCCTGCATCCTGTTGCCAGGTGACTGATGGCCAGGCTGGCCTGCAGTAGCCGATGCCACCCCACCTGACCACATGTTTGCCACAAACACACTGGGCCACCGATCAGTACATACGGGGCTCTCCCGGTACAGAACTTGAGACTTCAGGCTTGTATCTTAGGTCCCCAAACAAGTCGCCTGACCAGCAAATTCCCCTCCTGTGTATCCCGCAACATGAAGCACGATGTGCCACACAGAGTAAATGCTCAGTAAGTAGCTACCTGTCACCAGATACAAGTCGGGAGGCAGCTCACACCTGTAAAAATCCCAGCTCTCAACTTTTCATCAAGATTTCCTGAAGGAATAATTACTGGAGAGAAACACTTACTCTATAAAGTCGTGATCCTCTAAAATGGAAATCTTTTGGTTCATCCGTTTATCTGTTGATGGAAGATATTTAACAAGTATATCTGCATTAAAAAAAAAAAATCAGGCTGAGATTTAGGGTATAATTCAGGTGGAAGAGAGGGGGGACCCTTTCTTCTCAGCTTACTTTCCTTCCCGTCAGCAATCAAGACATGTGTAAACAATTTTACCTATTTCACATCAAAAGAATCTAGTCTTCAAGCCCAACTCAATGAGAGTATGATTCAGCCCTCTGAAAAGCTACAAGAATTCCAAGGCAGGGGACAAAACGTCTGCTACCTCAGCTGCTGCTCTCACTAAGCAAATCAACCCGCGAAATCGGGTAATGAAGACATTAGCAGGACTGCTGAGAAATTACACCCACCGGAAGTACAGACTCCGTACAAACATGAGGAAATGTTTCCAAGACTCAGTTTTTAAAAGCCAGAATTCAAAACTGTCTGGATATTAGTGACTGTTATCATAAACAACTGAAAGTGAACATGCAAAACTTAACAAAGCTTTTTGGGGTCATAGGATAATGAGGGATTTTTCTATTTCTAAAATTTCTTTTTACATTTCTCTACTTTTTATTTTTTAAATGCAGAAATAATGAAAGTGTGAATTTTGTTCAAATTATTTAACAAATCAATACTTCATGGTCATCGATATTAAAGTTATTCTGATAATATGAGGCTAATTTCAAAGCTAGCTTTCTAAGAGACGCAGCAAGGCCCAGTTTTCGCTTTTCCATTTCATTCTGAGAAATAACATTATTACTTTGGCTACTAACAGGATGGAGTAGTATCACCTTGACCAAGTCTCTATTTCCATTAGAACTTATATTAAAACTACCTCAAATTATACAGTCAGTAAATCTCTAGACATTTCTTCAAAGCCTAGAAAACTATTTCTCTGCTGCTTCAAGGAAGGGGGAAAAAATCAGCCCCCTATGTACTATTTTTAATACCATATTTGAAATTTTCACAGCATAAATTTAATAGGTAAATCATTATTTTAAAAAGAGTAATACCAATGATGACGCTAGGTAACAAAAGAACATACATGGAATGCATATTTTATCATGCCATTAAGCCGCCCAAAGAAGGACTGTGTAACATATTTGCCATGTGATTGGTGCACCACCTTACACACAGTGGGTGCTTCATAAATACTTTTTACTTGTTGCTCTCTAATCCTATTTTATCTTTAGTGACAATGTCTCAGTACAAAAATTTCCACTTCTTGCCATCTATTAATACTCTATTTATTTCCCTAGCAGTTTCTCTTTTCTTCCATTCTACTGTCTGACCTAATGCAATAAAAATCTCAGTTCTTCTTATCCTCAACATCGATCAAAGCTTTGCTGGTTTTACTTCAACACTGAAATGACGTGGTCAATAAGAATCAGGCTAGCCCTGCCTAGGAGAAAATAAATGATACACACTTTAAGGTTTTGCCATTGTTACAAAAACTTAACATAATCACAGATGGGGGGATGGGGAATTCTATCATCTTAGTGATCAGAACCAAAGTTAATTCCAACCTTTTGAGACATAAACACAAGCATGAGGATTGCAGACGGAAACAAATCCATACTCGAGGAGCAGGCGGTGGTTATCGTGAGGGCCATAGCAGATGAGCACCTCTTGGTGGTTCCCACAGCTCACAGCTGTTCTAATTTCATAACAGCGAGTTTCCTCATTAAATGCTGCTTTTACCTAGAAAAAAGAATTGTAAAAGATGTTTTTAGAGCAAAGCAGAAAGCTAAAAAGATTAAGTGATCGTATTAAGCAGGATGCCGCTTTCAAGCACTCATCACGGAATTTATCCACCTGGAGAAAAAAATGCCACGTCCGCACTTTGGCCTCTTTGGTTCTCCTCGACTTCCCCCCATCGGGGTGGGAGGGAGTCCCGCCTGGGGGCTCTGAGGGTGGCCAAACACACGACACCTGACGTCGGACAGATGACTGACTGACGGCAGTTTATTGTAAGTCACCCACACGGCCCGGGGGGAGGACACAGCACGCCACACAGGGCCACACAGGGCCACACAGGGGCTGCGCCTGGGAGCGGAGTGTCAGCAGAGGCCATGGGAAGCAGGCCTGCAGGCGCACGGGGTGACGCCCTGGTTCCCCGGGGCGATGTGATTTGCCTGTCTGAATAATTTTGAGGGCTGGCAGGGAGTTGACACGCATTCGGTTGAGGACCAGGTGGGCTACAGCCAGTCCGGCTGAGGGCAACTTCCCACTGGGTGGGAAATATCCAGAGAGGGCAGAGGAACTCACGGTCAGGCCTTCGGAGCCCCGCGAGGCCCAGACGTCCAGGCCAAGCATGAAATTTCAGGTCCTACGATACACACACAGCCTTTTGTGAGCAGCATGATGTTGGCTGATACTGTCATATGGATTTTGTGACAGCTTTGTTAGGTAACAGGCAGAGAGGAAAAGACCAAGGAGACCGGACTGCTCCCACAACAAGCGGCGGGTACAAGCACCGAGGCCTTCTCACTAAGCAAACTGCAGTGAGACGGGGATGAGGAACAGGCTGAAATTCTAGCTTTTGTGGCACCAACAAGAGGTCAGGGCCAAGGCCGGCGGTGTCACGTCAAACGCCAGCTGCAGCGCACTTTTTTTTTTTTTTTGCAGTACGCGGGCCTCTCACTGCTGTGTCCTCTCCCATCGCGGAGCACAGGCTCCGGACGCACAGGCTCAGCGGCCATGGCTCACGGGCCCAGCCGCTTCGCGGCATGTGGGATCTTCCCGGACCGGGGCACGAACCCGTGTCCCCTGCATCAGCAGCGGACTCTCAACCACTGCGCCACCAGGGAAGCCCTGCAGCGCACTTTTGACCAGGGGCTGGTGATCTTTTTCCATGAAGGGCCAGAGAGTAAGTATTTTAGGCTTTGCCAGGGTCCTGGGACCACGTGCCCTAGACTGTAGTTTGCGACGCCCTGACACTCAACTGTAAAATCCCTGGTTTGGAACATAAATGCACTAACAGCTCAATAATAAAGTCACGCCAATGGGGACTGACCGAGTCCCTGTGGCCAGTACCCTACTGTCCTGTACCCCCTTGACTTTAGTTCAGCAGTATCAGCCACAGAAACACCCATCTACCCTCAGTCTCCTTTGTTTAATTTTGTTAGAAATGCATCTTTCTACAAAAGCAAGGAGCAGACAGGCACGGCGATGGCCGCAGCCTAAGAAAGCACAGGGAGGGTCTCCCCTCCATCCCCACGCTCTCCTCTCGTGGGCACGTGGGCTTCTCAGGGTGGCGTGGGTCACTAAGAGGACAGCGTGAGCGCAGGTCCCGCCAGTGCGCCTGCAAGTGCACCCTGAACAGGCAACAGGTTAGCTGACACACAGACATCCTTTGCCCTCATGCCAGGCCTTCAGCCCCATGTGCCCCGCAGATATAATCATCTCCTTTATGTGCTGGAGCAGAGAAGCCTGAGGAAGAAGAGATCCCCGACTGACTCCCAAAGTGGGACCCCTTAACGATTTCCCACAAATAGCCATCCAGCCAGAAACTGTTGATTGAACAGTCAATTGAACAGTTGATTGAACAGGCCTACTACATGCCAGGCCCTGTGCTGAGCACTGGCGTTACAAAAAGTACAAGGCAAAGTCCCTGTCCTCTAAGACTGCAGAGCTCCAAGGGGGGAAGGAGCAAGTTCCTCAGAGATCACGGCAAAATGCTGACAGCGATGCCACCAAGTGTGAAAGGGAAAGAGACAGGAAAGCAAGCGAGACTTTAGCCACAGGTCTGAAAGGAGGAAGAAGGATGCTGCACCATGGGGAGGTGGGGGAGGGCTAGGGTTCGGGCCATACAGGGGATAGAGCACCTGCAGGCCTGGAGAGCAGAGCAGGGAAAGTGGCAAAGGAAAAGGATGCCGGAGGGGAAAGAGGGCCGGGAAGAAAGAGAGGAGCCTACCTGACAGCAGGTGGGTTTACCAGCTGCACCTCTCCCTGCGGTTCTGCTGGCTCTTCCGAGTCACAGGTTCTACACGTTAGAGTCCTTCCTATTGAAACCAAACACAGGTCTCCCGGTTAACCTCTCACCTGGGCGTCAGGGCTGTGGTTCAGCAGATCGAGGAACGGGGCGAGCACGCAGGTGTCCGGCTCTGCGGAAAAGCACTGCCTCGGCACGCGCTTCATGTACACAGCCCTGGTGTTGACGGTGCACCAAGCCCACAGGAGGGCACTGTAGCTGAAGATGCTCTCGACGGCCTCCGAAAACAGAGGCTGCAGGGAAGAGAAAAAGTCTCTGGAGGAAGAAATGAACTCCTGCACGTGGGTTCTCTGCTCTCTGGCCTTTGCTTTCAAAGGTCTGGGAAGAAGATTCACCACTTCTGGCTCCAAACAAACAGGGCAGGTATAGGCCTTGGGCAAAACCTCCAGGTAAGGCTTCCAGGGAGACCTGTCCCCAGCATGCTTTTCTGAAACTAAAAAGGTGCAAAGAGCCAGCACAGGAGATGGAGGAGGCTGCCACCTTTTAAAATGATAAGCAGATTAAAGGAATTACTTTCATTCAAAATACGGCGTAAGCAAGAGGTACAGACATCCTAGGGCTTAGTTCTGCTCCCAGAGGGACTGTGGCCAAGCTCACCTAATGCACCCAAGAGAGGTCTTCCTTCCTCAAGGCTTTCCTCCCCGGATTGCACCCCAGTACAAATGCAGTGAACCAGTCACACTGATACAAGAACTGGCTCACTAACCCGAGCTCCAGCTTTGTTTGCCAGAGATTCTTTCTTGCAAAAACCTCTTTGCTTCCAACTTGGTTCTCCAGTTTTAAAGCTTTTGCTGGAATTTCACTTGTTCCACTTGGTTAAGGATATAAATCTTGGGGGGTAGAGGGCAACTGGTGGAAAGAACCTAGATGTGCCCCATCCAACACAGTAACCGCTGCGTACATACAGCTATTTCAATTTTTATTTTTTTTCATTAAATAATATTAAAAATTCAATTCCCCAGTCATACAAGCCACATTTCAAGTGCTCTTGAGCCATATGTGGCTGGTGGCTACCGTACCAGACAACACAAGGTAAAACAATGCTATCATTGCAGAAAGTTCTATTATATGATACTAACCCAGGCAGAAAACTGAAGAGGCTCATTATATACCTGTTACAGATCTAAAGCTTTTGTCTTAAATGTACCCATTCTATTGCAAATTATACATTGCAGTGTTTTTATTTGTTACCAATAAAAAGATCACATGTTGCATGAATGTATTTAGGAAAGTTTTCATTAATCCTTCAAAGTCCAGATTCCTAAATTACCATGCGTTCTACTCAAAATTTCAGAAAATGTTAATACTAAGAGCATCCTTGCCTCTACTCAGGCCAGTGAAAATACACCAGCCCTCTTACAAAAGTAAGCCAGGGGAAAAAAGTCCAGAACTTACTGTGGGTTGAGAAACAATACAATCTTTCAACTTTTATAATTCAGAAACCCCTTATGCTGAGGATCTCCCTCACACTGTCCTCAGAAACCCACCCAAAACAGAGACCCCCCTATAACATAAGCCAGAAAATAGTTCTCAGCTCCCATGTTGGCCTCCTCTCTTCTCTGCCAAACAAAACCAACTCTCTCATACTGTCAACAGCTCTTCAGAGCTGAAGGGGAATCCAAGCAAGTACAATAAGGGTAAAAATGAAAGAGTAAATAGAATTTGTCAAGACCTACTACAACGGAGGAGAGTGGAGTGTCAGGAGACAAGGCACTCAGCCGTGATTTAAATCTATTATCCCATTTAATCCTTATTTTCTAGTAAGGTTAGATCAGGATTCAAACCCACATCCCAAGCAGCCTATTAAAACCTTAAAAACGCAGTTTACAATGAATTAAGAGTCAACTTCATAAAACAGAGTAAACCTTTCAAATCATTTCAGATATTTGTTAGCTACGTGAAAGGGCTGGGTCCTAATGAGCTGTGTCTTGGACGACACACTCTCCAATGATAGAAACTTTAAGGGAGAAGCACTTGGCGCAGACAAGCAGGTGAGCAGTCACTTACTTAGCAATACACGGCCCTAAGTAGCTTCTAAGCACTGTGTCCGTGGTGAGCAGGCAACTCTCAGGCAATGAGATAATCATCTGGCCCTCCTTGCCAAAAAGAAAGGGAAGTTTAGGACATCCACGCTTTGCGAAGGACCTGAATGAGTCTTTAAAGTCCTTGATTCCACAATCATCTAATAGGAACCCAGCAGAGCCCAACCACCGATGACCGAAGAGCCCTCAGGGGATGGGCTCCCCAGTTTAAGTCAGCAGATGCAGGCAAGGCTGCTCCCACGCCAGGGATCGATACTACATCCCCAGCAAGAATTAAAGGTTAATTGTGTGACTGACACCCACCACCAGTCAACCTTCCACCAGAAAGGAATGTGGAAACACTCTGACAGCTCGAATCATATTACCCCTTCATTTTCTGACACCAAGAAATAGTGCTACCTATAGGCAACAGACAGAAACCACGCCAAAAAATTCTTCCAGTGAAATCCATGTGTCCAGTGACTATTCCCAGCAATGGCCTACTCGCCATATAACCTGCGCCAAGTGGCTAAAGAAAGGGCAGCCCCCCCAGCACAAGGGTCTCATTTGACCACCTGCCAAATTATAGTTTTCAGTTTCTCCCACTGAGACAGAAACATAGAAAGAAAAATCAAGACGTCAAGGAAGAGACATCAGAAAGAAAGCACTAAGAAGCCAGATATAAGATCCTGCTTTCATCATAACTGGCATCTAAGTTGGTTAAACATCACAGCCAGGGGTTCCCTGGTGGCGCAGTGGTTGAGAGTCCGCCTGCCGACGCAGGGGACACGGGTTTGTGTCCCGGTGTGGGAAGATCCCACATGCCGCGGAGTGGCTGGGCCCGTGAGCCATGGCCAATGAGCCTGCGCGTCCGGAGCCTGTGCTCCGCAATGGGAGAGGCCGCAACCGTGAGAGGCCCGTGTGCCACAAAAAAAAAAAAAAAAAAATCACAGCCAAAAATCTCCTGGGTTCAATTTCTGGTCTCCTCATCTGTGATTCAAGATTGAGTTGGGATGGTCACTACAGTCCCTTCCTGCTCTGACATCCCATGACTTTCTGATTTAAAAAAAGGCACTTAATAAAATGCTCTATGTCTTGACTGGGGTAAATGTCTTCATCATCAAACTGGACACTTTAAATCTGTGCATTTCACTATGTGTAAAATACATCTCAATTTTCAAAAAGTTTTCACAAAAAAGCCACATTTGAAAGTACATGTAAAGCAACTGCCAATTATCATTTCATGATCTTAACAAAAACTACCCATAGCCACTGCTGTATTCATGAGAGGTATACTTCTCCCCCCAAACTCTGCTACAGAGTGAAGTCATATACCTCCCCTCAAAAAGAAAACTACTGCACAACAGTGTTAATGTACTTAATACTACTGAACTGCACACTTAAAAAGGGTTAAGATAGTAAATTTTATGTTGTGTAAATTTTACCACAATTTTAAATGTTTAATAAAAAAAATTAAGACAGCATAATAGAATTATAACATTAAAAGCTACCATTCTTTAGGCTAAAGATATATACACAGCTGGGTTTTTTTATAAATTAAATTAAGGAAGTAAAAATAAATTAGAACAATTTTGAAACAGAAAATTAAGATTACAAATAAATTAAGGAATTAATTTCTAGCTTTACAGAAAACTGTGCATTAGGTACCCTTTAAGTAGCACAGAAGAACTAAAACAGACCTTGGGGAGCATCCGCATGACTTACCTCCTGCTTTCCGGGTGAGGAGACAGAAGCCAGGAGGGTTAGCAGCCTGCTGGCCTGCCAGGCGTGCTTACTATGGATGCTCAGATTCGAGCAGCTCCCTTCCAGCCCCAGCCCATCCCCAGCGCGTTTACAGTAATGATCCGATTTACAAACCCTGCTGCGGCACAGACTGCTGGCCGCCCCGCCAACGCGCTCCCTGCTCCTGCTCCCCATGCAGTCCCACCTGAAGGGTGCGGCTCGCGGCAGCTGGGGGCTCGCGGCAGCTGGGAGCTGGCGGCAGCTGGGAGATGGCGGCAGCTGGGAGCTGGAATTTCCGGGGTGAGGGGAAGCCTGCCCTTCCTCACCCCTTGCGCCGTCCTGCTGCTCGAGCTCCTGGAGATGCACCCTGGAGCTGAGGGTGTGGGGCTCCCTCTCAGAACATGGATAAGAGCTGGACGGAGCCCGAGAGACCAGCACACCAGCCCAGGTCTGCCCGTCCACGCTTGTTCACGTGACGGCACGAGACACTTGCGCTCTGTTACCTTGGGTTTGTCTCTTATACGCTGCAAACTTAATTCTAACTGACAGAACTGTATTCAAAACTATACATTAGGGCTTCCCTGGTGGCGCAGTGGTTGAGAGTGTGCCTGCCAATGCAGGGGACACGGGTTCATGCCCCCGTCCGGGAAGATCCCACATGCCGCGGAGCGGCTGGGCCCGTGAGCCATGGCCACTGAGCCTGCGCGTCCGGAGCCTGTGCTCCGCCACTGGAGAGGCCACAAAAGAGAAAGGCCCGTGTACCAAAAAAAAAAAAAAAAAAAAAAAACTATACATTAAGTAAAAAAAAATAATAATCTGTATGTCTAAAATATTTTTAATTCACTTGATTGAACCACAAAAACAAAGCAGCAAAATCTACTTTGGGTTTCAAGATAAGAGAGAAATTCTCACCCGTAGGGATGTTTTGCTCATCAGCCCTCTTCCTGTACCTAGGAATGCAAAGACAGAAAAAGGGTAAATCCTACTCTTTCTTCAAGGTCTTAGAGATACTATTTTGCATAAAAGATGTGGATGAACTTCAAAATTACACAAAGCTGAAGCTGAGTGTCTCGCATCCTTTGACTCCCAGGGGAACCAAAGGATCAAGAAGCTATTCTGGGGCTTCCCTGGTGGTGCAGTGGTTAAGAATCTGCCTGCCAATGCAGGGGACACGGGTTCGAGCCCTGGTCCGGGAAGATCCCACATGCCGGGGAGCAACTAAGCCCGTGAGCCACAACTACTGAGCCTGTGCTCTAGAGCCCACGAGCCACAACTACTGAGCCCACGTGCCACAACTACTAAAGCCCATGCGCCTAGAGCCCATGCTCCGCAACAAGAGAAGCCACTGCAATGAGAAGCCCATGCACTGCAACGAAGAGTAGCCCCCGCTCACCACAACTAGAGAAAGCCCGTGCTCAGCAACAAAGACCCAATGCAGCCAAAAATAAATAATTTTTTTTTTAAAAAAGAAGCTATTCTGGAAAATGGCCCAACCTCCTTTTGGGTTTATAATCTTGAAGGGCAAAGTCAGCTTCAGAGTCAACACCTAAAGATCATCACCTTTAGGCTGCTGGGTCTCTTACAGGAAACTTGAGGCTGGATTCTCTCCCCTGGAGCTCACCAGCCGGGGTGGAGCCTAACCCTAACGCCCACCCAACCTCAGAGGCTGGACCCACAGGCCACTTTTACCCACTGCCAGACCCGGCCTTCCCCAGTAATGATCTCGAGTCTTTAACCGAATTACCAGTAAAGCTCACTCAGCTCCCTCAAAGCCTGAGGCCTACCCCCTCCCCACCCCAGCCAGGCAGCCATTAGCCACGCTCTCCGTGACCTGACGAGCTCAGCAGGGTAGATCCAGGGCCAGCTGCTCCCCGTGAGCCAAGGCCTTGGCCAGAGCACACTCACAACGCTAACCTCCGCAGCAGCTCTGTCAACGCCACCAACAGGCAGACGTCCACCCCTCTGTGCCCAAGGCTGCCCTCCTGCAACAGTCAGACGACAGCTTTTCCGGCAGCGATGGGCACGATATGTATGACCTGTAACTATCACACGGAGTCTCTCTAGTCATCTTCTCAAATCCACAGTTGTTGACTTTTTTCTCTCAGCTAGGAGGGTATATAATTCAGCAAAGGTCAATGCCTGCGGGACTAGTGGAAGCTGCAGGTTCCTGGAGGAAATTCCCGCCTCGAGTCCCGTCCGGTATCTGGCAAGTTTGATTTGATGAGTTATCTCCCTACCCAGAAGCGTCTGTCTGCTCAAACACATGGTTTTGGTTTTAAGAACTTACTTAATTTCTTCTGTGTGTCCCACTGTGGAGTTAATCCCCGTGGGCCAGAACCCTTCCTAAAATCAATTACTAATGAAAGGACTTTTTTCTGTGGGGTCATCTTTTAAAAAAATTCATGTGCTGGGCTTCCCTGGTGGCGCAGTGGTTGAGAGTCCGCCTGCCGATGCAGGGGACACGGGTTCGTGCCCCAGTCCGGGGGGATTCCACGTGCCGCGGAGCGGCTGGGCCCGTGAGCCATGGCTGCTGGGCCTGCGCGTCTGGAGCCTGTGCTCCGCGGCGGGAGAGGCCACAGCGGTGAGAGGCCTGTGTACCGCAAAAAAAAAAAAAAAAAAAAAAATTCATGTGCTAATTTAAGTGGAAATTTCTCTTCGAGCACACATGAACAGAACTTGGCATGTCAAATAAATCCGGAAGATACTTTACCTGTATGTCTACAATATAGTATTCAGTAGATCAGAAAGCAGATCACAGTAACCTGCACTTACTAAGGCAAGGTAGCAAGTGGCCATGAGGATCTTATTACAGACTTCTCCCTGCCTTATAATTTCTGCTACCATCCATCTACCCGGGAGGCCCCGATTTGGACAGTGCTTTTAGCATTAAAAGGAAATACTAGGGTCAGCTCCCAAAGCATAAATCAGGTCAGAGTCTAAAGACTGAATCCTGCTTGCAACTTGGGAGCCTTGCCACAAACCAGGACTAACTCCCCAGAATTCTGTACATTCTGACAGACTCCCATCAGCATGCTCTTCTATCATACACTGATTAAGAGCTGAAGATATAGAAAGCACTTAGGGAAGGTGTTGCAGACCGCATGCTTGTGTCCCCCCAAATTCATATGTTGATTTCTCAGCCCCCAGTGAGATGGCTTTAGAAGGTAGGGCCTCTGGTAAGTGGCTAGGTCATAAGGGTGGAGCCCTCATGAATGGGATTCGTGCTCTTATAAGAAGAGACAAGAGAGCCTGCTCCAGCTCCCAGCTCTCCACCACGTGAGGACAACAAGAAGATGTCAATTTGCAAAGCAGGAATCGGTCCTCGCTAGACACTGAATCTGCCCACACCATGATCTTAGACTTCCCAGCCTCCAGAACTGTGAGAAATAAATGACTGTTTTAAGCCACCCAGTCCATGGTAATTTGCTATGGCAGCCCGAGCTAAGGCAGAAGGTTCCCTGACCCCAGAACTGTAAGTACTGGGTTCTGATCACTGCCAAACCACTTTGCTTTAGCTCCTCCAAGACCATGAATCTGGAGGTGGGCCCAGAGAAAGTTGCTCCTACTTTTAAAACTGCTAACTCTTCACTGCTCCAAACCATAGACAGATTACTTATTTTCAGGCATTCAACTGAAACCATATGCCAATTCCCGCTTGACAATTTTAAACCTACCCTTCTTAAGGCAAAGTGACACCCGAGGAGTAGGCAGGCCTTAGGCACAGCAAGTCCACTCCTGACACTACTTTCCCTTGATCATCTCATAAAGAACTCCATCCAGTAAAATCTAAGAGTATGGTTTTTACTGACCGTTCCTTGACACACAAAAACAGAAAGTTAAACATTCTGTTAGAGGCTGATAAATATGGTTCACCATCATAAAGAAGGAGCAATCCTAATAGAAGTTGGTTCAAATCAAGTATTTTAGCCCAAAGTCATCATGTATAACTGACACATAGGGAACAACTTTACACACATTGCCTCACTGGACCAGGGGCACACATGGTAAACCATTTATCTTGGGTGATATATAAGGAAGTTAGTTTGCTCAAAGTTAAATTACCTAATGGGTACCTGAATTCATTTTAATCGCCAAGGGAAGCATTCAGAGGCATATGATCTAAATATTCTTCAAAGTGAAATGTCTGCACCTGCCCTGTGATACAGAACTTCAAGGCCCTCAGCACATAACTGTCTCTGTGCTACAGCAGATCTGTAGCACAGAGACAGGTGGTCCTCTCTGTGGTTACCTCAAGCCCACTTGTGGACAGAGCTGGGTCGCCTTGTATGCAGGCACAAGCCCATAACAAGCTGCCCAACTTCTGTGAGAGAATGTTCCGGAAGAGAATGTTAACCCAAACTCCATGACAAGCTCCTCAATTTTCAGAAAACAATGTTAATCCAACCTTCACAACAAGCTCCTCACCTTCCAGAAGAGAATGTTCACCCACCCCTGTTCAGGTGACTGTGGACGCCAGGGCCACACAGGGGCTCCTCCTCCAACACTTGGGGGGCAATACCGCTGAGGCCTCCCTAAGGGCTCCTCTCCTGGAGCCACCCCCAGGGACCAAGCACCTCTGCTGGTTCTCTGGAACCCCTCCCCTTAGAAAACAACGGTGATGCTCCTGAGCTAAGGGGTAATCCCATCAGCCTGCATGGCTTGAAAATCCCATGAAATCACCATAAGCAGGTTGATGGGGACACCAGTCCCCACATTACACAATGTCCTCCCAGAAAAGCCCAGTGAAGATGTTTCCCTCAGGTCTAAGTTCCAGAAATACCTGTACTTCTGATGAGTAAACAATGTAGCTGGGTTTACAGAACACTAAGATTCAGCTAGTTGACCATATACATTGGGCTGCTGGAAAGATGAGTCAAATTTGTAGCTCACCTCTGACAGGGGTATGAAATTTCATAATCATGGCTTTTATGTGTTATCCTTATCCCTGCCTTCGTCTTATTTTTCTATTCTCATTTCCCTTTTCTAACTTTTAATTTTATTTCACCATTTTGGAACTTCTCTCCACAAGCCACTTAAACTCATTTTTAGAATAAGGTCAAGTAAATATTACACCTACAAGGCAGGAAGGCTGCCACACAACAGAAGATGTTAGATATTTTTTGTCGGGTTGAGGAGATGATATGCCCCCAGAGAGAATACAGCCCACCTGCAAGAATCACCCCTGCTTTCCTACCACCTGGGCCCACATGTCTCTCGTGTGAGAGTTGAATGTCAGACCTTACCTGGAAAACGAGCAGGTATTAAGTTTGTATCTTCAAACTTCCTATCTTTCAGCCACTTCTTAAGCTCTATAAATTCAGGCTTGTAGCTCTCATTCACTAATCAAGAGAGGAAAGAAAAACTGGTGATTAAAATCACTATACAATCAGATCACCATTTAAAAAGTAAATCTCTGATGAACTGTCTCAGACAGTCATATCATAAAAGGGAATAAATTTTAAAATATGCACAAATAATGTAAACTAAAATAGAAAAACCACAAGATCATCTCAAAGATGCAGGAAAAGCACTGGATAAAATCTGACACTCATTCCTGATAAATACTCCCAGCAAACAAGGATAGAAGGGAACCTCCTCAACACGACAAAAAATATCTAACAAAAACCCTACAGCTGACATACTTAAAGATGAAAAACTACGTGCTTTCCCCCTAAGATCAGAAACAGAAGAAGGATGTTTGTTCTCCCCACTACTACTCAACACCACACTGGTCCTTGCCAGTGCAAAAAGCAAAGAAAAATAAATAAAAGGCATCTATTATGGGTTGAACTGTGTACCCCAAAATTCATATGTTGAAATCCTAACCCTCAGTACCTCAGGATACGACCTTATTTAGAGACAGGGTCTTTACAGAGGTAACCAAGTTAAAATGAGGTCATCAGGGTGGACCTGGATCCAGTATGACTGGCGTCCTTATAATAAGGGAAATTTTGACAAAGAACAGAGGGAAGATGATACAAGAAACACAGGGAGAAGACAGCCAACAACAAAGCCAAAAAGAGAGGCCTAGAACAGACCCTTCTCTCACAGCTCTCAGAAGGAACCAATCCTGCTAACACATGCTTTATAGATGAATCCTCAGGGCATTACTGAAAGTGAAATAAGCCATTCACAAAAAGACAAATACTGTATGATTCCACTTACATGAGGTATCTAGAATCGCCAAGTTCATAGAAACAAAAAGTAGAGTGGTAGCTGCCAGGGGCTAGGGGGAGAGGGGAATGAGGAGTTATTATTTAATGGGTATGAAGTTCCAGTTTTGCAAGATGAAGAGAATTCTGGAGACTGGTTGTACAACAATGTGAATGTACTGAACACTACTGAACTACACTTAAAAATTGTTAAAATGGTAAATTTTATGTTACATGTAATTTTACTACAATTAAAAAATTTTTTAATTTTTTTAAGATCTCAAATCAATAATCTGAACAAATGGAGAGATACATCTTACTTATGGGTTGGAAGATTCAATACTGTTAAGAAGTCAAGTTCTCCCCAGATTGATCTATAGATTCAATACAATCCAAATCAAAATGTAAGCAGGCTTTTTGACAAGATGATTCTAAAATTCATATGGAAATGCAAAGAACCTAGAATAGCCAAAACCACTTCGAAATACTGATTTCAAAACTTTTTATTACTATAAAGCTACAGTAACTAAGACTGTGTGATACTGTCATCAAGACAGACAACGAAATCGATGGAACAGAAAAGAAAGTCTAAAACAGACCCACACATATGTGGATAACTGGCTTTTCACAAAATGCAAAGGCAATTCCGAGGAGAAAGGATAGTTTTTTCAATAAATATTGCTGGAACAATTGAAGTAAACAAATCATGGAATATTATCAGCAATAAAAAAGAATGACCTGTTGATACACACAACAGAGAATTATCTCAAAATAATTATGCTGAGTAAAAGAAGGCAGAGAAAAAAGAATGCATACTATATGATTAAAGAAAACTATAAAACAAACAAATCAATAGTGAAAGAAATCAGATCAGTGGTTGCCTGAAGATGGAGGCAGGGGGGGTTCAAAGAGCGCAAGATGAAAGGATTACAAAGGGAAACAAGGAAACTTCTTGGGGTGATGAATATGTTCATACCTTGATTTCGATAATGGCTTACTGTGTGTATACGTATGTCAAAATCTATCAAATTATACACTTTAAATATGTGACATTCATTGTATGTCAATTATACTTCAATGAAAGTGTTTTCCAAAAAAATACATGATCCAAAATCTAAGGCTGCTAAAATACGTTATCACAACCTAGAGAACAGAGTTTACAGCAAGAACATTTAATAAGCAACTACTACACTCCCAGCACTATTAACCACTGTGGAGAGCGTTCAACATGTTCCTCACCCTCAAAAAGTTAACACTTTAGTTGGGGAAACAAGACTTCCATGAAAAACAACTGGAAAACCACAGCTCCTGAAGAATAATACCCAATAAGCATGATAACCCAGTGACGTTAGTGAGAACTGTAAATGGCATTACCAAAAACATAAGATCTCAACTCAGCCTCGAAGGTTAGAGAGAAACTGAACAAGAAGGGAGAAGGGAAGAAAGATGTTTTGGCTGAAGAAGGACCTTGAGGAATGGCAGAGGTGGCAATGTGGGAGGTGTGTTCAGGAAATGGTGAGCGGAGAACATACTGCCAACACAGGGAGTGGGGCGGGGGAGCCACTTAGAAAGGCAGTTGATGTCAGGCAGGAATTCAGAGAGCACACAAAGAGAATGAGGGGGACTTCCCTGGCAGTCCAGTAGTTAAAACTCTGTGCTCCCAATGCAGGGGGCACGGGTTCGATCCCTAGCTGGGGAAGATCCTGCATGCCGTGTGGCACGGCCCAAAAAAAAAAAAGAGAGAGAGAGAATGAGGATCCTGGAGGCTCCTATACCAAAAAGGCTACATCCCTTAAGAAAGTTAGACTGACAGTGACAAGTGGAACAACCAGCAGGGAAGAAAACAAGAATGTGGTGAACCAGCCAAGAGCTGGCTGAAGTCATCTCTGGGTAGAACAGAGAGGGAGAAGTGAACCTAAGAAAGGCCAGGTGAGAGTTAGTAGGACATGGGCTCCAGAGAGCAAAGAAGGATACATAGTCAAAGATTACCTCCATGGTGCTGACATGCTGGGGGTCAGCTAGGAGGAGTGCTATTAATTTTTATGAAAAATAACAACTGCATTTATGTAGTACTCTCCAGTGGTCCAAGCGCTTTCACATACGGTATCTCGTTCAGACTGGGTTACACTGAACTTGAAGTGATAAATTTACATCCAAATATTAATATCCTTTAGGTAGCTAGAGGTCAGCAGAGAGGTCAGGACCAGAAACAGAAACCTGGGAGTCATCCCCAAAGAAGACATAGTTGAAGCAATATATCTGTATTTCTACAAGCGTTTAAAAGAATATAATGGCACTATTTAAAAGAATATTTTTTAAGAAGTATTCTCTATGAACACTGCTCATGGGCTTCCCTGCTGGCGCAGTGGTTAAGAATCCGCCTGCCAATGCAGGGGACAAGGGTTCGGGCCCCGGCCCGGGAAGATCCCACATGCCGCGGAGTAACTAAGTCCGTGCACCACAACTACTGAGCCTGCACTCTGAGCCCGCGAGCCACAACTACTGAAGCCCGCGTGCCTAGAGCCCGTGCTCCGCAACAAGAGAAGCCACTGCAGTGAGAAGCCGCGCTCTGCCGCAACTAGCCCACGCGCAGCAACGAAGACCCAACGCAGCTAAAAATAAATAAATAAAAAATAAATAAATTTAACATTGCTCGTGTGCCTCTGAGAAAAGCTATGTGTTAATAGCAATCAACAAAGGATTCCTTTTTTTCATCAATGGCGACAAAAGAATCAAAACTGTACCTCCTCTTGATTCAGAACTTGTGAAGAGTTTTCGTCTTCTGATTCGGCTTGTTCTTCCACCTCCGTTCCTCATACTAAAACTGCAGTTTCTGCTTAATTGCCCAATCTAAAATAAAAAGCATTATCTCTGCCTTTCTTTCCAGCTGTATGATAATCACTGTTGATTGTACCTATAAAGATTTAAATATACAAATGTAACTATTTAGTAAACCATTTCTCTAAAGTGTTTTTGTATATAAATTGTTTATACTCTGAGCTAAATCATGCGCAGTAATGGAATGCCCATTATATTGGTCCCTCTAAAACAGTTTTATCTTGAGGTCCTATTACATGCTGATTAATCATAGAAATCCTCATAACTGATTTCATAATTGTGTGCTTTGGTGACGTGTACATCAACAACAATCAACACTTACTAAGCACCAACCTATCTGTACTTTGAATAAACAGTAGTCCTGAAGCCCCCATCTGCTAGGAAGTCTTAGAGAAAAAAACCAAATCCTCTTTCAGCGTGAAGTAAATAATGATTTGTCCTTAAAACCAGCATCCTGAAATAAATATAAACTAAGCGGGGGTTTGCCGCAGATTAGGGAGAAAATGAGAGCCAAGAGAACAGACAAAACAAAGAGATAAGAAAATCTAAAATGACTACAGTTTCTATACATTACTTCCTCGGAAATATAAAAATGAAGTCTATTAAACACACCAGCATGATCAGATAATGGAGTGGCCTACTATATGAAGCCATTAATAGCAAGTATGCGCTAAGATGTAAAAATGTCCAAGATATATTACATGAAAAAATAAAGTTGCAGAACAAATTCAGTGATCCCTTATGAGTTTGATACTGTGCACATTTTATATTTATAAAACAAGAGGCTTTAAGGAAGGATATTAAAAAATATGCACGGGGGGGGGACTTTTACTATTACTTCTGTATCCTCCTAGTCTGTGCCTTATGTATGTATGAGTACATAAGTGACATAATATGAATATTACTTAAGTGCATATATATGTGCATTTTAACCACACCACTGTTTTTTTTAAAACCACTAAAATCTACCGAACTGAAATTAATAACAAGACACGAACTCCAAGCCCTATTACTATCCCACCCCAGCACTGGAAGGTTCACTATTTGATCGACCCAAAGTTGGCAAGTCCGGTCCCAGGGCCACCGGCGGCTCGTCCCCTCGGGGTCCCCAGTGCCCCGCCCGCGCACGGGCCGAGACGCGACCACACTGACCCCCGGCCCTGCCGCGCGCGGGTCCCGGGATCCGGCGAGCGAGCTGTGCACGTGGCGCCAAGGCGACAGCACGGTTGGCCGCACTGTCCTCGCCCCCAGTCCTCAGCCCCTAGACGTGAAGCCGCCCCACAGCTGCGACACACCCTGCCCCTCCCCCGCCCCCTCCGTTTTCCGGCCGCCGGGTTGGCTGGGCAGGGGTCGAGCTCAGACCCCGACCAGTTACAAACTCCCGACCGTAGGGTCCTTCGCGCCTGCACAGCGGCTTCTCGGGTCGACATTCGCTAAATGAACGATTCCCAGATGACGGGGGGAGGGGTCCTGTAATGAGCAGCAGCATGCCAGGCCTGGCGGGGGTAGGCCATCCGAACTCAGATCTCTTTTCGAGCCCCCAAAATTAAAGTATATGGAAAGCTCCGGCAGGAGCAGGTTCCCGTTACCTGGGCAACGGTAGGCCCAGCCCCGGAAGTCGACCCGCTCACCTTGGCACAGCTTTAAGATGGCGGTGGGCAGGCCCACGTGGAAACCCAGAACAGCGCGCCAGATGCTCGCGAGTTAAAGAAGCGAGCCACAGCAGCAGGGGGAGGGATAGAGCGCCGCCAGGCCCGCCTCGAGTCCAAACTGACCCACGCTCTCAGTCCCCAGGCGGAGCCCTCTTTCCGCCGCGGGCCTCAGCCTCTCGGCGTGCGCATGCGCATTGTGTTCCGGAGGCGCCACCGCCAAAACCGGCTGGGGTCAGAGCGCCCCAAAGCTGGACCGGTGCGCCGGGGGGAAGAAAACCCTGTGGTCCGTGGACCGGGAACTGCGCTCTGAAAAGCCAACCTACGCAGTCCTTCCGTACCACCAGAGAAGGAACCGCCAAGTGCGCGCATCCCAGAGCGGACTCCACCCCGCGCCTTGGCCCGCCAGCTTCCGCCTCGCCTCTGGGCCTCGCAATCCCGGACCTTCCCCCACTTCCTGCCCGAAGTTGCCTCGACCCCGCCCTGCCTCGGGTCGCAGTCTGCCCTGAGCCAGTTGCAGGGCAGCCCACCCCCACTTCACCCTGCTGTCCCTGTTGGCGGACGTGTCCCAGGATCAGCCTAACAGGAAAATTCCAGTCGTTTATGTAAATACGCCTCCCTACAGGAGATGGGGCTCAATCTCTGCCCCACCCACTCCACCTTGATTATCTCTTGCTTCCAAGACAGCCCAGCATGGAAAGGAGGGAAAAGTAACTTTACAGTGGAGAAACTTGGCAGACACTGCCTTGGCCAAGTGATAAGGGTTAGCATATCAGTAATAAGTTATGTTGATTGCGAAGTTCCCAGCTATAGGAAGGGTACTTTACCTAACATTTGGAGATGTTACTCTCCAAAACCCATAACTCTAGTTCTGTAACAAAGAACAACCTGGCTCTATATTGGATCTATTCCTTTAACTCTAACGGTTGTGTTGTTGCCTGTGCTTAATCATGCTGGCTCTGCACCTTTGTGTTACCAAACGGAGAAAGAACGTTGTCCACAGCCTGAAATACACATAATAGTCCTTCCACAAGGCTCTGCCTCCCAGGCTTGCATTTTAAAGGCATAACACTTTTCATTTGTATAGAGATTAAAAAGCTGCAGAACTTGTTGAAGGTTTACGAGAACATCATGTCCAGACCAACCGTGGACGGCTGCAAGAACAAAGGATTATCACACCCCTCTGAGTCTGGCCAGTACCAAGGGATCTGCAACAACCAGCCACAACCCCTCCTTTTGGTATAAAAGAAGCCTGAATTCTAACTCAGGAAAGATGGTTCCTTAGGACACTAGTCCGCCAGCTTCTCCGTCTGCTGGCTTTCCAAATCGTCACTATTCCTTGCCTCAACACATCGTGTCTCAATTCATTGACCTGTCATGCACCAAGCGGTACAAGCTTGGACTCAGTAACAGTTCTTCCTTGAGAATAACATGAGACAAACCCACAAACACCTGACCAGTACAACCGGCCCTCTGTATCCACATCCGTGGATTCAACCAACTGCAAGTCCAAAAATACTAGGAAAAAAAATTTCAGAAAGTTCCAAAAAGCAAAACTTGAACTTGCCACACACCTGCAACTACTTACATAGCATTTACATTGTATTAGGCATTATAAGTAATCTAGGGATAATTTAAAGTATATGGGAGAATGTACCTAGGTTATGCAAATAGTAGACCATTTTATTTGAGGAACTTGAGCATCCCAGGTTGTTCGTATCCACGGGGGGTCCTGGATAACAAGGGACGACTGTACTCCTCAAAGCCGTCAAAGTTTGTGAAAAGCAAGTAAACTCTGAGAATCTGTCATAAACCAGAGGAAACTAAGGAGACATGACAGTTAAATGTAATGTGGTATTCTGGAGAGAACCTTGGACTAGAAAAGGGATATTAGAGGGAAAAACCAGTGAAAGCCGCATAAAGCATAGAGCTTAGTTAATACTGTTCCAGGGTTATTTCTTAGTTATAACAAATTACCATCATAGTGTTTGTTACCAAACTGAACTTGGGTCCACTCACCCACAGCAAAACCAATTTCTGACAAGTCGTGAAGGAAAGTACAGCATTTATTGCAGGGTCCAGCAAGGAGTACAGGCAGCTCATGCTCAGAAGACCTGAACTCCTCAATGGTTTTCAGGGGAGCGTTTTTAAAGGCAACATTTGATGGTGAGGGCTGCAGAGTTCATGACTTTCTTCCGATTGTTTGGTGGTGAGGTAACAGGGTGGTGTTTCAGGAATCTCAGTCATCAACTTTGTGGTTCCAGCCAGTCTGGGGTCTGGTGCTTGTGCTCAGCATGTAGTCACCATCCTCCACCTCTGGGGGTGGGGATGAGGTCTTAGTTCCCAAAGAACAATTCAAAGATATCCATCAAGTTGTTACGTACATACCTTGGGGAGAACTAGGACTCTGTTTTATCACTGAACTATTGTCGTTAGTTTTCTTATTTAACTGCTTTTCCTTTCTTTCTGCATTCCCTCACTTCCCTAATTAGTAACTGCATGTGCCTGCTCCTTGGAACCCAGGGAAGACCTAGGAGACTAAATCCTTTTACTGCAAACAAGAAACAGGGGACATGGAGGAGCTTTTGTACGTGAGAGTGCCTCACAGTGTCCCACTCAGTTTCAATAGTCAGATGTTAATAATAGGGGAAATTTGATGTGGAGTATATGGGAATTTTCAGTACTGCATTTGCCACTTTTCAATAAATCCATTCTAAAATTTAAAGTTTATTGAAAAGCAAAGGGGGGCTGGAAATAGATGGTTCCAGATTTGGACCCATGAGTCAGTGATGTCATTAAAAATCAAAGCTCTCCCTAATTTTCCACAATACCATCCTTAGGGAGTTGGCTAACCTCTTAGTTTGTTTCCTTATGATCTCAAGATAGTTGCTGCAGCTCCAGGCATCACATTCTCATTACAAATGCATTCAAGACAGAAGAAAAGGGGTAGATAAAACAGGTATTTTCCCTTTATGAGGGAGAAAAATCATGTAGACTCCCATTTTCTAGAGGGGAATTGACAAAGATTCTCTTCTTGACCAAGCTCTAGCCAGTCTCTTCCAAGCCCTGTTTTCAGCTAGGCCTCAGCCTGGGCCTATAAAACCTACTGACTCGGCACTAATGATTTCATCCACTCCCCCACCAACCCCCATGTTAAAAGACTTAAACACTAACATAGTTTCTAATAGCTCAAGGCTGTATCACTAGGATGACCTTATTTCCCCCTTGATGAGCTCCAGGCTGCCAGAAGAATTTACTATTTGTTCTAGCCAACACCTGACAAGAGGTCCTTTACTACCCTTTCTTAGAGCATTTACTAAAAAAGGACCTAAAATTTGTGACTTCTTCCTCTGTCCATTTGCAATATGTATGTATCTCCTACAACTCAGGACCTGAGTCTTTCTTTCTCAAGGATCTGAAAGCCATTCCTTCGAAATGTAATTATCAGATAGGATAGGACCTCTGTCTCCCAGTCTCTTTATAGCCCTGATGGGCATTTACACTCACCAGGCCTTTATAATTTTCCCCTGACTCTACCCAAGCCCCTCCATTCCCCCTGCCTACTCCCTCAACTTCCCTTTAAAACATCCAGTCACCTCTGTACAAATCCAAGTTGAGTTCAGTTCATGCTGGACACTCTTCCCTACTACATTATAATACTGATTAAAATCTGTCCTTACCATTTGAGGGAAGGTAAGTTGGTGCAGCCACTGTGGAAAACAGCACCGTATTTCACAAACTTATGCAGAGTTAAAGTTAATCCAATTGTTAGGTTTGTGGTCAATTACCTATATCCAGTACTTCTGGGTTACCTTGGTGGATTTCTGCACTCCAGGGCTCTAATTGGAAGGCCCTTAGGCCACAATTGATATTACTAGAGGGGACTCCCTCACTTGGCCAGTTAATAATACCTGCTCTGACCCTGGCCATAAATATGAATTTTTCTTTTAGGGTCACTCAAGCTCAATCAGAACCACCAACTGAATCACAGTCGAAAACCTCCTCAGTTACAGATGGATTTATGTGGTTAACACCAGGCTTTGGTCATTTAAGTTTAAAGGCTCCTTTATGTTAGAAACAATAAAAGCATACTAAGGATAACCAGCCTAGTAACACTAGAAAATTGGGCTGGGTGCCTTATGAACAATACCAATATATCATCTCCCTTAAAGGTAAGGACTGATATGGAACACGACCAGAGATTGTGTTCCCTGGTTATTAGTTTTGTTTTTTGCAACTGATTGGAAAAATCCCTTGAAATTGCAACGTAATTGGAGACTATCTAAAATATAGCTGTTCAAGAGAAATTTTTGCACTGATGGAAAGAAATATGTGAACTGTCCGATACAGCAGTCACTAACACGTGACTATTCAGCACTTGAAACGCAGCTAAAGCAACTAAAGAACTAACTTTAATTGTATTATTTTGATTAAAATTACATTTAAATAGCCACTAGTAGCTCGTGGATACCATAAGAGTGTGGACAAAGAATGTTGCCTGCCATTTCAGTAAACAAAGGATCAAGCCATCAGCCATGGCAGCGGACTGCGCTGGTGCACACTGAAGGGAATTCAGGATGGAGAAAAACAGGATACTGGCTCTAGATGGTTCAGGTGCACATCAAAGGAATAATTTCAATAAGCCCAGACTCTTGCATTTTCCCATACACTGAAAAGTGCTAAATTCATTAACTTGAGATGTCTGATTTTCTTTAATTAGCAGTAATTGATGTTCCGACTACCTGGGTTGTTTTTATGTTTTGTTTTGTTTTGTTTTTGCAAAAACTCCTACATATCCTGGCTCCTCCCTTACCTCTTCAGAACAGTCCCTCAGCTATCTGAGAGGCTATATCCCAAGGCTTAAGTCCCCTAGGTTGTGCATTTCCTTTCAGTCGACAAGAGACAGCACAGAAATGAAAATGATCTTATAGACCCCCTAATTCCTCTGTTTTAAGTGGTAAATAGTAAGGAAGAAAATTAATTTCCCACTACTGAGCTAATTTATGAACTTCCTGAGGATCCATTTCCTCGCTTGAAAATGGAGATGCATCCTGATGAGTTATTTTGAGTGTGAGAAAGGGCTGCAAAGCCCCTTTGCACCTGTACACTTCAGGACCTGCATACAGGTAACCTGACAACACTGGAAGTATCTAGTGAGGTAACCCTATGATGATTCAGTAAACACTCCCCACTAACACGTGAGAATCATTCAAGGATAGGGCAGTAGCTTGGCTTTCACATACTTACGGGAGGAAGCAACACACACTTGATCCCTACCATGTTCTCCCAACTTATTCCACAACTCTAGGTTACAAAGACTTCAGTTCGAGAGATATTTTTCAAACACCAGGAAAAACAAAGTCTGCACAAATGACCCATTTCTTCAAGCGCAACCGCGAAGAGTTGAACATCCGGATGAAAAGGAGGAGAACA